ACGTATCTTGCGCTACATTCGTGGTACTTTAGATCTTGGTCTCTAGTTTCACCATGCATCATCCACTGATCTTATTTCCTATTCAGATGCAGATTGAGGAGGATGTCCCTCTACTAGACGGTCTACCAGTGGTTATTGCGTCTTTCTTGGGGATAACTTAGTATCTTGGTCATCTAAACGGTAACCAACAATCTCACGATCTAGTGTGGAAGCCGAATACCGCGGAGTTGCCAATGCGATTGCAGAAACATGTTGGTTGCGTAATCTCCTACACGAATTACATACCCCTATTCCCAAAGCTACTATTGTGTATTGCGACAATGCCAGCATCGTTTATCTCTCCACAAATCCAGTTCAACACCAACGGACAAAGCACATTGAAATTAACATCCATTTTGTTCGAGATAAAGTCGCTACCGGTCACGTTCGAGTCCTTCACGTCCCTTGCTCGCTCCAATATGCAGATATATTTACAAAAGGGCTTCCAACGTCTCTCTTCACGGAATTTAGAAACAATTTGAGCATCCGGAGTCTTCCTACCGCTCGAACTGCAAGGGGTAGTGTACATTGTGTATTCGTGGATATGTATAATAGCCAATTTATTAGTCTCTATTGTTTTGTATCTAAGCCCATTGTATCTTGTAGTCGTGGATATGTATAATAGCCCATTTATTAGTTTGTATTGTTTTGTATCTAAGCCCATTGTATCTTGTATATATTCAAATCTTTATGGGAAAATACTTACCGGAGAGCACCATAGTCTCCCATCCTCTTCCTCATTCTATCTATATTTGCTTCTTGTTCCAAGATCACACACACATGAATCCGTTTTCCTTTTTCCGGAAATTTTCCTTATGTTCGACGACCAGAGAGAACACACAAGAAGCAATTGAATCATATTATTTTTTTTATTTTATCAATTAAACCTTAAAAATACCTATTCCTGTAAGTGATAACCACCGATTTATCTTTTTTGAAGCAAACTCTTATTTAAAGTAATTTGGGCTTTCAATTTATTTAACCCATCAAAATACACTAGCGATTATCTTGATATTACTTGTTATAAATTTTATAATGTTCCATCAAATCTTGTAATAAAGTTATTTTTTTTATCACGATTTATGTAATTGGATCGGCTTTATTTTATAATTTGACAAAAAAAAAAAAAAAAAAAAAAAAAAAAAAAAAAAAAAAAAAAAAAAACACGATAACTAATTAAAACTTAATCACACAAAATAAATTAAATTTCAGTTTCATTACATAAATAAGTAAAAATCCTATAAACATCCATTTGATCCCCCCAAAAGTTAAATATAGTGGTACAAATAATAAAACGATTAAATAACACATATTGGTTTCAACTTTCAAGATCCAATTTACAATGATTATTTTAGTTGGAAAACATGCCTCTAATTTGCCGTTCTTGGCTGTCTTTGGCATCTTCCTTAGATACTCACCGACACTCCACCCGTAATCCACATACTTTCAATACTACCCTCTCCAATAATATCTTCAACAAGTTTACGCCTTCAATCATAAAATGTTGTTACTCATTGATCTTTTGGCCAAATTAACTTGCATTAATTGTGATTGGAAAGATCCAAACGATGTACAATTGAAAAAAAAAAAAAAAAAAACATAATTAAACTAACAATGAAATAACCAAAGTTGGTCCAACTTTGATTTAGAACTAGTTCAAACTCGAATAAACATATGCAAATTTATTTTAACTATAAAACTATAGATTTTAATCAACATCATCTCAAACTTCAAAAATAAAAGCTGTTTATGTTTGTTTTGAATTGGAACATAACAAAAAAATTCGTTTTTTTATCCGTTTAGAACTGAAAATAAAATAATTGATGTTCATTTTAGCTTAGTTTGTTTTCATTGATTACATCAGTATGTTACTAAAATATTTTTCTAAATCTTGATTGAGAGAAGTATGTTTCTAAAGAATAGATTGATTGAGAGAGATTATACCATAGACGTTACTAAATATTGATTTTAGGTTTTCTAAAGTAGATTGATTGAGAGAGATTATACATTGTTACTAAAAGTTGTCATACAATAAATAGTTCAGAATCTTAATAAGTAAAAAAAAAAAAAAAAAAAAAAAAAAAAAAAAAAAAAAGGGTTACTTGAGTATGTACACGAATAGGAGGAGGTGATTATGTAATTTGTAGAAAACAAAATTGAAGAGAGAAACTGTATGATAAAAACAAATGCTGGGGGTGATATGGAAAATGTGACCTTGATCGATTATTTGTTTAATTGCAATTATTGAGTTCATTATTCAATAATAATTTCCGGTTGTTATTGTTTTTTTTTATTATCTTTAAGTTTATATTTTCTTAAATATACTTTAAAACAACAAAACTTTCGTTTATAAAATATATACAATCCTAATAATAATTCATATGGTAAAACCATAACTGATCGACATCATTATTTAAATGATTAAAACTTAATTGATGGTTATATATAGACAGAATTCCAACTAGGCCACTCACAAGTCACAGCTCTTCTTTACCTCCTTCACCACCCAGAACAGCCACTCATCGCCGCATCTCCGGCGAAATGCAGACGTTTTCGGCGGTTACTCTCACCGTCCTTTTACTCATCTCCCTCTCCACCACCACCGACGCCCACAACATCACTCATATTCTTGACAAAAGCCCAGAATTCTCAACCTTCAATCACTATCTCACACTCACTCACCTCGCCGGAGAAATCAACCGCCGCCAGACTATCACCGTCTGCGCCGTCGACAATGCCGCCATGTCTGCCTTGATTGCCAAAGGCTTGTCACTTGTCACTATAAAAAATGTTCTTTCCCTTCATGTCTTTGCCGACTACTTCGGCTCCAAAAAGCTCCACCAAATCACCAAAGGCTCCACCTCCACCGCTACCATGTATCAAGCCACCGGTGAAGCCCCTGGCACCACCGGATACGTACATATCACCGACGTTAAAGGTGGTAAAGTTCACTTCACTCCCGAAGACAATCCCACTCAAACTGTTCTTTACGTAAAATCCATCTTAGAAATGCCTTACAACATATCTGTCATTCAAATTAGTGAAATTCTACAGTCGCCGGAGGCTGAGGCACCGACGTCGGCACCGGATCTGAACTTAACTTCGTTGTTACAAAAAGACGGATGCAAAGCGTTTTACGATCTGTTATCAACTTCGGGGGCTATCGGAACGTTTTTAAGCACGGTTGACGGCGGAATAACGGTGTTCTGTCCCAGTGACGACGCTATTACGGCATTCGCGCCAAAATACAAGAACTTAACGGCGGAAGAGAAGACGTCTTTGTTGCTTTACCATGGTGTTCCGATCTATAATTCCATGGGGATGCTGAGATCAAGCAATGGGTTGATGAATACGTTAGCGACAGAAGGGGCAAAGAAGAAATACGACTTCACTGTACAAAACGTCGGCGACGATGTGAAGTTGAAGACAAAAGTGGTGACGGCGGCGATTACAGGGACGGTGATCGACGACGAACCGGTGGCGCTTTACAAGATTGATAAAGTTTTGTTGCCGAGGGAGTTGTTTAAGGGGACGGCGGAGGCTGATGAACCTGCAGCGGCACCGAAGGCGGCGAAGAAGAAAAAGAAGGCGGCGAAGAAGGGTGATAATGCGGATGCCCCGGGGCCAGACTCTTCAGAAGACGATTATGGTGGTGGTGATGCGGCGGATCAGACGGCTAGTTCCGGTGGGAGGCTGGTGGCGTCGGCGTTTACGGTGTTGTGTCTCGCACTCGTTTTTGTTTGATGAGGGTTTTTTTTTTTGTTGATGCGATGGAGTGACGGCGCGGTATTATAGGTCCCACGAAGTTGACGCATAGAAGAACACAACCTCCTTTTTATTTTATATTACTTTAAAGTTTTTTTTTTTTTTTTTTTTTTTTCTTTTTTTTTTTTCTTTTCCATTTTTTATTCTGTAATATAAACGGTTTTTTTTCCCTCGGTCTTGTAATTGTTTCGAGTGCTTGATTGATTTGATTAAAATAAAACGATACACATTGTTGTATTTTAGTTGTGCTTGTAGGTTACATTACTTCGGGTTTTTTTGTTTTTTGTTTTTTGTTTTTTTCATGTGTTGGGAGTTTTGAAAACTAAATAAAAGCGTATTTCAGTTTGAAATCACTTTAATCGAAGACGAAATAATATTGAATTTTACAATCTAACTTGGTGATAGGTATGAATACCGAATTGAAGATATCAATTTATGAAATAGTTCAACCACATACATATATACATATGAATTAAAATCAAGAAATTACTACTCATAAATATATACATATACCACATACATATAGATTAAAATCAAGAAATTACTACTCATAAATATATGAACATTATAAGAAAAAGTTTTTATATTACATAAGTCAAATACAAATATTTAAGAACATAGTCTATCTACTTATTTGGTGATCATGAAATATACTCACACATCATCAACCTAATCTTGATAATCAATATGATATTTATAAATCTTGAAATACTTCATTGTAGACAATATAAGTCTATATGTGAGATATGTTCTTTTCTTCATCCATGATTATTCATTTATACCCTTCTTGTTTGTTAGTCTAGACAAAATGACATACAATTTTTTGTGGATGAACACGGGGTATTCACAAGAATAACCAAACTATAGAAAGTGATTGACTTTGACTTTTATTGATTATCATTGCAAAACACAACACCAAGGGGAATTTATTGCAAACAAATTTGAATGGTATTTGTTTGTCAGATGGAGTTAAAACGACTCTTGAGTATAAACGTTCGAGCTCGATCTAACATGATTTCCAGAGATGATTTATGCTTCAAGTACACATATTATCAACATTACCGAAGCACCTACTTTCAATTTGGTTCATGATTCAGTATTTCAAACAATTTGATGGATATCCGATAATTAAGTGAGTACAATGCTTCAGTCGTAGAGTTGTATTATCATAAATTGTATAATTTGTCTGAATTTACATATGTTGTGAATCACGAGATATCTAATTAAGCACATACTTGTTCATCTAACGTTCTACATCATTTTATAGGTGTCAGAATAGCAGGTTGATGAAAATATATGCTACTTTAGTACTTGTATTTTTTATAAGAATAAAAGGATATACAAAATCAACAATTGGCTGGATCGGATCACATACATATTTAATCAACATGTTCTCAGGAATTTCAACCTCTTCTTGCGCATGGTTATCCTTACCAGTGACACTATCACCAATATTTAATATCCACTCTGTGAATCTTTAACTTCCGGACAACTATTTTGGATCACAACCTACACCGTAGCTGCATATTGACATTTAAGTTCATACCTAAAATTGGTACCAAAGCTTTGAATAATTAAGTGATGCATGAACGATATCATGCCTACTACCCTTCGGTATGACATGTAGTATATGTTTGAAATCCCCTCTAAAACCAACTTTCCCACCAAATGGTGGAGAAATTATGCCATTGATTTGTACTACTAAAATGTCGACAAGATTCTGATCTAATGCTTCAACACATTGTCTATACACCATCCTAAATGATTGATTTTGTCTCCTTAAGTAACTAACACAACTCACCCTCTATAACAATGAGACACACTGTTGTGGTGTTTTTTTTTTTTTTTTTTTTTTTTTTTTTTTTTTTTTTTTGACAAAAAGACTTATTGACCTCTTATATTTGCGGCGAAAAGACATTTAAGAAAAAGGCGTTTGTTTTTTAGAAAACAAAAGATATATAAAAAAAAAAATTCTTTTTAGCCTCTTTTTTTCCAAAGAAAAAAATAGATTTTTATTTTAGAAAATGTTTTTGTAAGTTCTAACCCTATGTGATATTTCTTTTTCCATCCCAATGTCTCCATCACTATTTCCAATACCATTGTTGTCCACCGCCGCCGCCACCACCACCACAACACCACCACCTCCAAATCCATGTATACCACCACCTCCACCCTGACACCCCCACCCCCTTATTGTAACACCCGCAACTTTGGGCTAGACAGTTAGGGTATAATAAGCGATAAAATGACATTTTAATAGAAGTTTATTTAGGATAAATAATCTTAAGCAAAGTTATGGTATATGTGATAAAGATTTTGTATATATAAAGAACTCTAAAATCCATCCACGGAACTACGGAAGAAAAAGTTATGCTTCTTTGAAGTTTTGTTATTAAACCAACATAGCTATGTGTGTCATAAAAAGTGAATTTTAGATGGGTTGCTTATTAGCCTAATCCATCTAAATGAAAGTCGTAGTAATCGTAAAACCGAGAGCATGCATATAAAGAATGTCCAAATTTGACTTCGTATGAGGAAGTTATGATTTTTTGAAGTTTCAGCGTAACAACATGGACACAAAAATCGAAATTCAAATCGATCGATTTTTAGCCGAAACAATCTAAATGAGAAATGAAGATCTCATGAATATGAACTCGTCGATATATAGACAGTCGAGAATGAAGTTTGTATGAAGGAGTTATGAATTTTACACTGACTTCAACAATCTAAAATGATCTAAATATGAATTTTAGTTAGAGTGAGATTTAGCAGTTAAGAATTTAATGAAAGTTGTAGATCTCGTCGAGAGGATTCTGGGGATATAAAGAACATCGAAAATGTAGCTTGTACATGAAAGTTATGGCCATCCGAAGATCTACGAGAAAATACATGCTCTAGTAACGTGGTAGCACCAGAGTGCACCACATGGCATGGTCTGTTGTCTCTTCCTCCGAGAGACAGGTGATGTGGCATGATGCAGATGAGACATTTGGCACCATGAGAATGTGATATAAGTCGCATTTTAGAAAAATGGGATGTAGATGAACCAAGCGGAAACACATGGTGGCAAAGCAGGCATTTACATCATCAAAGGGTGTGGGGCGCCCAATAAAATGTGTGGCACGCACACCTGATCCATATCTAATATTTTCAAATTTCACTCATTTCCTTACAAACTTACTTCCAATCTCTCAGAAACCTGTCTAGCATTTGAGTTTGATTTTTACTAACTTTTAGAACATTTTAGTAGAAACTCTAGAACTCTAGGAGCCTAACAAAAAGAAGTGTTCGAGTTGGAGTTATTTCTTTGTCAATTTCCTGGTTTTTTGCTAAATAATTGTAAGTTAAGCTACACTTATTTTATTTCAAGTGTAACTTATATTTATGTTAATAATCGTTATTATGAACCTATAAATAAAATTTATCACTGATTATACTGATACGAGAATGTTATCTTGACTAGATTTAGTGAGGTGTTTAAAATGAGATTTCCACATAGTATACTTTGTATACCAAATGTACTTTACCTCTGATATGATCCTACATAGTTATTCCTTACTTGATAGATCTTAATGTAAACATTGGGATAAGTAAGGAATCTAGACTCTTATAAGTCACTAGGAATATAAGACTAAGTCTTAGTGATATTCATACCTAGGTCACATTAAAAGAAAAGCCAATATGCCAGGCGAAGTGTTGCCCAACTTTCCAGCCATACACTTTTAACAAGTGATTGCATAGTTACTTTCAACTTACACATAGACACACGTGTTCTAATTGCTTAAATGCTATGTGTGTTGTTTAATTGTGCATACTATATCTATATAATATGATGTGAATATTACTTGATTAAGTTGTTGTTAAATATGACTCAAGAATTTGGATCATGTTCCTGGAGCATTTGGAGCACTTGGAACTCAATGGAACACTCAGGTTCATGGAGCATGTGACAGAGGAGAGGATAATCTAAGAAAGGAATGGATCATTTGACAAAGGAACGGATCAAGTGCCAAAGGAGCGATAATACAAAAGGGGGTTTGGAGCACTTAGGAGTGATACGGAGCAACAAGGGGACCTTGTTGAACCATCTGATGAAGCGTTGGGCCAAGAAGGATGTTGTTGTGCCAAGGGTATTCCTTCTTGTGCCAAGTATATCCCTCTTGTGCCATGAAGAAGCCTTGTTGTGCCAAGCATGCCCTTATTGCGCCAAGACTGTCCTTATTACGCCAAGGTTATGATGTTTCTCCAACCTAGAAGTTCTTGTGCCATTCTTGATGCTTGTTGCTCTATCCTTGTGTTGGATTAGGTGTCTAAGCCCATAACTATAATTGGTATGTACTTGACCTAATAGTAGCATGGTCCTTTTGGGTTGCCTTCAAATGAGCAATTTGATAGGATGGATACTTGAGAAAAAGGTTATTTGCGATTTATTAATATATTATATGAATAATATATTAATTGAGAAATCATATTATTTAATTGGTATTGATCAAGAATTAATTTGGAATTAATTTAGTGATCAAAAGAGACTGGTTAAATTTACGCATTGATCTTGTGTCCCAACAGCATGTATGAGGATATCAGTGGATTCTCCACTTGTGAGCTTGATCAGGGAAGCTCAGGCTGAGGGTGTGCGGTAGGAGAACTAGAAGCTTGAGAGGATCAGGGGCGAGATCACCCGATTTGTGTAGGATAGTTGTGGATTGTTGACCCGTTGCGGTCAAGTCTGGGTTTCGATGCCTGGTGGGGTCAGACAGATTGTACTGGAGGAGGCTCATAAGTCTCGTTTCTCTATTCACCTAGGGGCCACCAAGATGTACCGGGATCTGAGACTGAGTTACTAGTGGTCGTGCTTGAAGAGAGATATCGCATGGTACATAGAGAGGTGCTTGACCTGCAGGATGGTCAAGGTCGAGCATTGGAGGCCGTATGACAAGCTGCAGCCTCTGGAGGTTCCCATGTGGAAATGGGAGCAGTTC